TAATAAATGTAGCACCTGACCAATTTCCACCCAAATTTATTCCACCAAAAGTTTAACACGCTAACCTAACCTAACCTAACCTATCTTAATAATCAACCTATCCCAAACCTAACCTAACCTAACCTATCCTAATCTAACCTATCCTAATCTAACCTATCCCAAACCTGGAGTGGAAATTCTTAAAGTGATGCAATTAAACTAGCAAAAAAAAAAGAATATAAAATAATGTGTATTCCGAGACCAACCCATTTCCCAGATACATTTATATAGAGATAAAAATAAATAAATAAAACAAATATATACATTAAAAAGATAAACAGATTAATATAGAGACAAACAAGGTTATCAAAGAATTGGTCACTAATTGCTCATAGCCGCTTGTAAATTTTGGAAAAGACGTGACAGTATGAAGGGTAACTAAACTTGACCAATTACAATCATGAAAGTTGTTATTCGTTCGTCAGTCAGGAGGTGTACTACACTGTCTCCCACGTACTCAGTTGTAGATAAGTAATGATAACGGGTGTATAGGGTCTGCAAGATAACTAAATACTGGTTCCCTGTTATCGTATACATAGATAACAGGTAATGCATGAATTCCCTGTTGATGTATACACAGACAACAGGTAATGCATGAATTCCCTGTTGATGTATACACAGACAACAGGTAATGCATGAGTTCCCTGTCGATGTATACACAGACAACAGGTAATGCATGAGTTCCCTGTTGATGTATACACAGACACTAACTGATAAAGGAACCAAAAGTAATGAAAAAATATCACCGTAAAGATCTAATTAGAGAACCCCCCCCACACGCACACACACACGCAACAACAGGGGCCCAGCTTAATGTCGGTGGTGATAGGAGGCTGCTGTTCTGTTCCACTAGATAACAGACTTTTTAAAACATAGTTACAACACAACAGAGAGTTAAACCTCAAGTGTTCATCAGTAAGTAAAAAAATAAACAATAATGGTAATACAAAAAAGAACATATTACTTGCTATCGTGGTGGGGTTACTTAAGTGAGAGAAAAAAAAAAAAAACCCTGAAAAGTTGGTAGCAGAAAACTCGATTTAGTTGATGTAAATTTGTCTTTATTACAACCAACAATATCTGAAATTAGTGTAAATGATTTGGACAATTTAATACACCAGACAAAAAGTAATACACTTACATATATCAGAAGGAAGTAGCAACGTACTGAATATAACAAGATAATACATAAATATTTTCGAGAACATTAGGACAGGAGTTATTAATTACTCTAATACCTTACTATACCTGTGTTAGTGATGAACAGGAAAAATTTATCCATTTATATATACCTTAGATATTTTGTTCTGTTTAATGTAAGATGCCCAAAAACGAGGGAGCAAATGACGTTATTCATTCATCCAGTCATAAAAATATACAAAGCTGGTTTATCCTCGTCTCTTCTCGCAATCCAGCGTCACCCCTACTACATGATCTTCATTCATTCATGCCTAATGCTTCTTCATAAAGTCACCCCTATTATGTATGCCTTTATTCCTTGTCAAGACACTTTCTAAGACACTTTCAATTTCCCTTGTATCTCTATATGAACGTGGGCCCATAAGAATTGGTTTGGCACACAGAGAGGTTGCGTGATTGGAGTTGCATCTGACCGTCTTTACATAATCATTATAAACATCACCAATTATACAGTAATATTAAGTGCCTTATCTGGGAGGACTGGGGATGGTGTCCTGGGTATGAATCAGTACAGTGACTCTTAAGACAAAAGACGAGCGTTAAATTCACTCTGCCACCTAACTCCATGACTATAAACATTGCGGTTAATAATTATCAGTTTATTACGGAGTAAAGGTAGAAAATCCTTCATGAGCAGCTACAGAGTCAATTAATGCAAATGTGAGAGTTTTATCAGACGAGGATCAAAATTAATCAATACTTTCTACGAATGGCTGAATGTCCGTCTGACTGAACGTCATAACCCGACCAGAGTAAAATGCATCTTTTAATATCAAATGACGTGATGTAATAAATAAAAAACCCATTAAGACTCACAGGTGTTCAATAATCAATTTCTCAATTCGTATTCTGGGGGGAGTTTATGGTCCGTTTTTGTGCCGTCTTAGAAAAAAAAGGTAAAATGATGTTTCGATCCTCAACTGTTTACATCAGGATAAGTGAAAGTTTCTCAAGACAGGAAAGAATCTATCTGGTCTTTTATGTACCTGGGATTAAAAAAAACCGCATGATATAATAGCTAGAAAAATTATAAGACAAGTAATGAAAATATCCTTAGTAAAATAATGTGACACTGACCACACGAGTAATCCTGAACTTCAAATTCTCCCCCAAAACCCAAAACATTAATTTACTTACCATAACTTTTCTGTCTTATTCAAATAATAATAATAATAATGAAATAATACTAATACTAATAATATTAATAATAATAATAATAATAATAATAATAATAATAATAATAATAATAATAATAATAATAATAATAATAACCTTATCAGTTACAAATGCACATGTTTCAACGTTACGTATGGTATAGAATTTTATTTATTTAATTTTTTTTATTTTAAACTCTCGGGAAAATCAGACAATTGTCTTTGAAGAAGATATTTGAAGCAAGGTTATAATTATATAAAATCGAGTAAAATCACTATGGAAGCGGGCCCCACACGAAGCCACTCCGAAATATATTAACAAAATTTGTGAATCGGAGGCCAGACGTTCAGCGTGAGGGGGTAGTATTGACAACTCTCTCAGATGTTCATTGGTCGAGGTAGCTGCCATTGTAACTAGTAAAAGTATATGTAATATGGGAAAGGGAGAATAATATAATATGTTGGACATTTTCTACGTAAGATCATTAGTGTTGATTACTTACGTGTCTTTTTTTTTTACCTATTTTTCAAGAACTACGGAAAAACGGAAAGCTTAAAGATAATGAAAATTAAACCATGAAAAATACAAGAATTCTGCTTAGAAAGAGAAAAGAAGAAGAAAGAGAAATGAAGGATATACAGTGGATAAAAAACTCTCTCTCTCAACGAGGACATTAGGATGAAGTTGTAAGGTGACTTAAGCGAGTTCAAGGACTCAAGCTCAAGATACACTGATACTGTCAAGAGGTGGGCAAGGACACTAACAGTATATACGAGGACACTGAAAATATAGACGAGGACCCTGACCCAGTATATACGACGACAGTGACTCAGTATGTGTCTGCATCCCCTTCCCTCACCCCTCTATCCCCAAATTACCTTCCTGAAACGCCACTGTACTGCCACTACTAAAACATACATTCTTGTGCTGAAACTTACTGTAGCTTTACTGTTAGTTTTTGTAGTCAGTGTAGCCTAGGCCCTAGTGTGTCAACAAACCCATCATTCCACTTTCTTTTCATGTCATTCTTCACACACACACACACACACACACACACACACACACACACACACACACACACACACACACACACACACACACTTTGTCTCTCTCTCAGGTGCCCCCATGCAGGTTCGACACAAAAAAAAAAACGGAGGAACTTTTTTTTCCCTTGAGAGTATAAATGGAGAGAGACAGGGATGGTGTTATCAGACAAATTTATCACGACACAAACCATTCACCAGCAGGAGTGTACGAACTGGTGGGTTGTGAAGGATATTTAGGAAACCAGTGGGGTTAAGATCTTCATGTACTAGACAAGTGTTTGAGGTTATAATTATGTGATTTAGAATTTTATGTATGTATGTATGTATGTATGTATGTACAGTATGTATGTATGTATGCATGTATGTATCTCTTATCTATCCATCTATAATATCGACTTCTATCTATCTATCTATTTTAGTATTTATCTATCTGTATGTCTATATATCTGCCTGTCCGTCCATCCATTCATCCACCATCCATCTACCCACTCACCCACCTACCCCTCACCCCACCTACCCACCCATACAACACCTTCATACCTCCGTTAAGTTAATACTGACATGACCGACGTTAACCAAAATGGCGACGCAGCGACCATCTTGAAAAACTCGCAGTTAATAACTATTGATCATAATTATAAAATATATACTAGAAGCTTCTCCTGTACTCCTATATCTTCGTTAAGCTTGATAATGAGAGGATGGTAGTCAGTGGGAGATGGCAGGGGAATGGCGTGGTGGTGGTGTGGCGTGACGTTGGTGTGGCGTGGCGGTAGTGTGGCGTGGCGTTGGTGTGGCGTGGTGGTGGTGTGGCGTGGTGGTGGTGTGGCGTGGCGTTGGTGTGGCGTGGTGGTGGTGTGGCGTGGTGTGGCGTGGCGTTGGTGTGGCGTGGTGGTGGTGTGGCGTGGCGTTGGTGTGGCGTGGCGGTAGTGTGGCGTGGCGGTGTGGCGTGTGATGGTGTGGCGTGGTGGGGTGGTGTGGGGTGGTGTGGTGTGGTGGTGTGGCGTGGCGGTGGTGTGGCGTGGCGGTAGCTGTCTCTTAACTAATCATAAAAATCATCTAACCTTCGTGATACTTGAATAGGAGTTAAGATACTAAACATTATACTAGATTAAACAACTCCCACTCATGTTTACAGTATATTGTTTGTCGGGATAATGTTGTTGTTGGATGCTGTAAGAATGTTTGTTTATAGTGGACACTTACTGTATGATGTTTACGTTAATGATGTAAGAATGTTTGTATGTTATGATGGACAGTCATGATGTTTATGTGGATGTAAGAATGTTTGTGGTGGACACTTACGATGTTTATGTTGATGTAAGAATGTTTGTATGTTATGGTAGACACTTAATACAGTATATTTATTCTGTATTGATTGAAGTTTTGCATCCAATAGTAAAACAAATAAGCAATTTAATGAATTTGATAAAATTATAACAAGAGTATGAACATGTTGGAAAAAACAAGAATTTTAAGAAAAATAACTGCCATGGATAATGGATATATTGAACACAAACATTGATCAATTGCAAAATATAAAATAAACATTACCTTTATTTACAGACCAGGCACTTTACGTGACCTGGCCGCTGCAAAGTTTTTGATCAACTTTTCGAAGTCAATCTCTCTGAGGATGTCATATTCGATACTCATCAAAGCCAGGTGGCTGAGCCTATCATGACGCATTGTAGTACGAAGTCTGTTTTTAATAAACTTCATTTTACTGAAAGAACGTTCTCCAGAACAATTTGTGACCATGAGCACCAAGTACATCCGTAGCATTATTTCAACATTTGGAAATGTATCTACAACTGTCTTGTCTATCAACAGCTTGTAAAGGTAATGTGCCCTCCATTTCTCATCATCTTCGTCTTCAAGAAATTGAGTGAAGAATGCTGTAAACTGCACAAGTTCAACTCCAAGTGTTTGATCCAAATCATTTTTGTACTCAGCAACCAATTTTGTTGCAGCTGCTTCAATTTCGTCACAATTCATTGACTCCAGTTTAGACAAGAACCCGAAAAGTGAACAGGTTTCCTCATAGGCCTTTAACCGTTGATCCAGTGAACTCAGGAACTGATCAATTGCTGGAAGGAAATTCTGAACCTGAAATTTTTCTGACAGTGAGAGGGCTGCTTCTTCTGATCGTCCATAATCCAATGGATTGAGTCGTACATTACGTTGACGCTTGCGTGTCTGTGAATAGTTAGTTTTAGTTTCACAAATTTATTGGCAGAGCTTTTAGTACAGTTTGCCTATTCTGAGTAATTCAGTCAGGTCTTGACACTGAGGGTGGTATCACTTCTCACTGCCACGCAGGACAGAGGTTCATACACAAAGAAATACATCATATTCATTAACAGCTATAAATGTATAGAGGTCAGATTCATATGGGCAATGTCACTGTTCACTGCCATGCAGGACAGAGGTTCATACACAAACAGATGCATCATATTCATTGACAGTACATATACATATATGTACACACACACACATACACATATACATACATATACATATACACATATACATACACATATACATGTACATATATATACACATATGCACACATACACACATACATACACATATACACACATACATACATATACGTCGGTCAGATTCATGTGGGTATTGTCACTCTTCACTGCCATACAGGATAGAGGTTCGTACACAAAGAATGCATCATATTCATTGACACTATATATAGGTCAGATTCATGTGGGTAATGCCACTGTTCCCTGCCATGCAGGACAGAGGTTCGCACACAAAGAAGGAAATACATCATATTCATTAGCAGTATATATAGGTCAGTGGGTCACATACATTGGAGTCATATTCTAATTGAAGACTAATCAGTGTGGGCCAGCAAATTTGGGATAAACAGCAAGAATGTCCTCAAGCACACCTGATTCAATGAAGTAATTACATGGTTTAAGATACAATAAGTCAGGTGGCCTGAAGTCTTTGACAGTGTCACATTCAATAATATAGTGTTCAAGTGTATGCTTTAAAGGTTTATCACAAAGTTTACATGCCGAGTGTTCCGGTATGGGTACAGCGTTACTAACTTGCCAGATGTGTCTGTATCCTAGCCTAATTCTGGCCACGACTACATCACATTATCTGGTTCTGTCCTTATGCTGGCCATACCGGTACCTCTTGTCACAAAATTTGTCATATTTACTAATGCTACAACTGTCAGGTCTCTGCATTTCTCACTTCTTCTAGATCAGAGTTCATGATTCTGACTTGAATGTGTTTATTTACAGCATTGGACAGGCCAAGGTCACGGTCAACATTTTCTTTCTTACATGCCTCATTGGCCAGTCTATCAGCACGGTCATGATACCTGATTCCAACATGGGACGGAATCCACACAAATTCGATACGAAAGTTGTTCTCATTGGCAGTTATCACATTCCTTTTAATATCACATACAACAGTTTCTGACATTTCCCTT